GCGCGTATCCCTGCCTTAGCGCGTCTCCCTGCCTTAGCGCGTCTCCCTGCCTTAGCGCGTATACCTGCCTTAGCGCGTCTCCCTGCCTTAGCGCGTCTCCCTGCCTGGGCGCGTCTCCCTGCCTTAGCGCGTCTCCCTGCCTTAGCGCGTCTCCCTGCCTTAGCGCGTCTCCCTGCCTTAGCACGTCTCCCTGCCTTAGCGCGTATCCCTGCCATAGCGCGTCTCCCTGCCATAGCGCGTCTCCCTGCCATAGCGTGTAAACCCTGCCATAGCGCGTCTCCCTGCCTTAGCGCGTCTCCCTGCCTTAGCGAGTCACCCTGCATTTGTGCATCTCCCTGCTATTGCGCGTCTCCCTGCCTTGGTCACAATGTGGCTACATACGTGCCCGCCTATGCGCGTCTGTCTATTGTGTTACCGCCGCTAAGGTCGCTGATGACGTCCCTGCCCTGGAGGTGCACCCACAGTGCGTTCGAGTTGCGTAAGGTTCGCTTGCTCTAGGGCGACACGATTGTGTGTGCTGTGGGTTGCTCTACTGGTACATTCAGCTGGGTTGAGCAAGCTGCGTGCGAGTGTTTTGTTTTCCCGCCATCTCACTTGTGCAACTTTTACAGTCGCAGCGTAGGTCGCATGCACGTTTCCGGTCAGCTTTTTGACGCGCAAGTCGTTTCGCCACTTTCTGGTTTGATCCTAAATCTGAATCTATGTTTGAGTTCCACAAGCTACAAAGTAGGATGGCATCACTTTCAAGTGGAAATTAATAGCTTGTTTTGAATGCTATTTTAGCCACGGGCTTTAAAGGGGCTTCGGTTGCCGTTTCAGAAATTTCAGCAAGCAGCAACGACGACTCGGATTGGTGTCTGAATGGAGCGAGGAGCTCATTATGAGACGACAAGCTCGCGAATATCCCCAGGCGAAGAGGATTTCGTCAGGAGCGCGTGTAGGAGACGTGGCTGTATGGTGAAGTGTAGCTGATGTCAAAGGGCTCGGCGTTTCCGGCAGGCGACACGCGGGTGAATACGGGACTTCGGAGCTGTTCACGATGCTGTTGGAATTTTCGGCACGACCGAGATCGCATGTGCAACAAGTGGGGCTCAGGCACGGAGCAATCGGAGGGTGGCAAACCTCGGATTTTCGCGTGGCCTGCCCGCCTGGAGGAGCAATTTCGTCTACCCTGGAGCTACTCTACAAGCTCAGCGAGAGCAGTTTCCCCGCAAGGAAATTGTTTTCGTGGTCAGAAAATTACACTCCACGGTCAACGGAGGAGGACGAAGATCTACTCCCGGGTATTTACTTCAGTGTCTCCACGGGGTCACCGAAAAGGACCAACGGCAAAGAAATGAAGCAGCGGAAGAAGAATGGCTGGGAATAGCTGGTTAAGAGTCAGCGGCAGACGGATCCCCCGACTGACTTGGCTGGGTCGCCCGATTTTCAGCACCACCACCAGGTACCAGTTCGGGTTTAAGACCACTCCGACGGTTCTGGCCGAATAAAGGTGGTGAGCCAGCAGATCACCCTGTACTGGTGGATCAAGGAAGAAATGTTTTCGGCGCTACACGGCAGGCGAACGATTTGTGAAAATCGGAAGCTGTACAGTGGGAGGCGCGTGAAGAAGAATAACGAAAAAAACGATGGTTTTTTGCGAGAGCGATCAGACGGTACACGGCGCTCGAGTCCGATACGAACGGCGAGGATTTGTCGTTGCAATCGACGTAGTTGCGAGCTTTACAACGAACGTGCGTGGTATTGTTTGGAGAACGACGAACGTGGGCGCTGGGTGAACAGCGACCTGCGGGGGTTTCACTCTGGAAGCAGCAGTTGAAGAAATTGCAGCAGTTTGGAGCAGATTTTCGGCAGAGACGATTTTATCAGGAAGGGGAAGGAGAATCCCTCACGTAAGCTGCAAAGCGGTTGCCCGCGAATTAGACTGATTAATTCGCTCAACTACGATAGCGTTTGCGCTTACCTGAGTACGGGCACACGGCGGATTCACCCCTACTCAGGAGTGTATTCATCAAATGGAGCTTCAGGACGACAAGGGTTACTGTTGCAGCGGGAAAAGGGTGTTGCCGTCATGGAAAATTTGGAGTCATGCGGGAGTCTTCAAGGATTATTCCTAAGTCGCAGGGCTATAATGGAAGGGTCGGCTGCGATGACTCATTCGTGGATTTACCAGGACGGGCGCAATGATGGGTGAACGTCGGCGTGTCGCCAAACGTCGGGTATTTTCGAGTGGGAATTCTTCAAGTTTTTGGCTGGAGCAGTAGCTGGGGTCAAGGGTACCTACCGAGCTGTGCGATGGTTTAAATACCAGCATGGTTAATTGGTGAAACTGCAGAAAATACGCTTTCGTAGCTGAGAACTGTACCCGAGTTTTTCTGGGGTACCTACCGTAGCCGCGCGATGGGTGAACGTCTGCACGGCGATCCGGTCAGGGGGGGGGTTTCGGATTTTACAACACGAAGCAGATCGATGGCATTCTGCGGAGCAGAATATTTATCTACGGCGTCGGACAGAGTCAGAGTCTACGTGGCGCAGCTGCCCGGTGTTATTGGGTCGGGCTAAGACTGGTCCTGACGAACAGAGTTTGAAGATACTTTAATTTTCGGGTCTGAAGAAACTTGAAGCAGGGTATTTTCGGCATCAACGACAGAATATTTTCTTTTCATGGAGAGGGGGAGAGAGCAGCAGTTATTTTTTTTATTTTCCCTCGACAATTGGCATCCGTTGCATGAGCATCGACGGACAAATGCCGTTTGACCGACTGAATCGACGGACAAATTCGAGTTGGCCATTCGGGATTTTTGCAGGAGTTTGCGAAAGTTGATGGCGTGTTTACATTAACCGCATGCAGCAACATCGAGTACGGTTACTGGACTGATTGTGCTTTTGTCCATTTGCTGATGGAAATCGCAGACTTTCGTGAGACACGGACGCGTGTTCTCGCATGTGTCGCGAATGACCTCGCATTTGACGAATAGCTGGAGTTTGTTGACTTTGCGAAATACGGACGCGTGTTTCTGCGAGTGTCACGACTCACGGGGAATTAAACGATGAGCTATCTACAGTTACGAAACTACGGACAAGTTTGGCGCAGGTAGAAGATTCGGCTCGCCAACTTGCAGCAGCGTGAATAACGTAGTGTTACTATGCGGATACAGTACACAACCCCGGGAGTTGAAATTCTCAGCGAAGGACTTGTAGGAGACAAGGAAGCTGTGGTGCGGTAGTATCCCTACTGCCCGTTTGGTTATCTGGGTAATTCGACCAAGATTCGACGACTACGATCGATTGCGATCGTTTCGACGTGTTTCGACTGTTGGATGGAGTTTCTTGAAGAAGCTCGAGATTCTCAACAGTGGTGGCTTCACTACTACGAGATTCAATTGGAGTGTGTGTAGTTTTGTTTATTTGTATGCTTATCTCGAAGGGGGGATAGTGTAAGGAATTAGTAATTCCTTACTGAAGCTTGCTACAGGGCGTACGACTCGAACATTCCAGAACCAGCGATAGGGTTCCAGACCTTTCAGTTCGAGCCTCCTGGGCCTTTCCGGACCTCGCTTCGACACATCGAGGCCCTTCGACACTTTTCCAGAACCTTCCGATCCTGCGTCTAGAATCACCCTAGGTTTTCTATATATTGTGTTGTCTTTCATTTTATTGTCATTCACTCGTTCACAGTTTCGCCATTGCCCTCCGCACTACTCGGCAGTCCTATTCATAACACCTCTGCAGATTCGGTACAGATCCCTCTTTTCCTGATGAGGTTGCCATTAATTGAACTCTATAAGCAACTAGAAATTCCTTACGGAGGCTTGCTACAGGGAGTACGACTCGAACAGTCCCGAACCAGCAATAGGGTTCCAGACCTTTCAGTTCGAGCCCCCTGGGCCTTTCCGGACCTCGATTCGAGACATCGAGGCCCTTCGACACCTTTCCCAAACCTTCCGATCCTACGTCCAGGATCACCTTAGGTTTCCTATATATTGTATTGTCTTTCATTTTATTGTCACTCACTCGTTCATAGTTTCGCCATTGCCCTCGGCGCTACTCGGCAGATCCATTTATAACAAACACCATCTAGGTTACTTCATTTTCACACCACAAGTAGTAATAACATGTAGTAAAATAAAGGAGTCGTGATTCAAGAGTGGCGATACAAACGAGGGCCTGGGCATTTATAGGCACAAATAGAGCTAGCCGAGAACCACACGAACAAGTTGGGGCGGTCCGGTTGGCGAAAGCCACGGAAGCGCTGCGTGTCGAGGTTTGGGTTCGCAAAATGGTTGGGGACCGAAGAAGTTGGCCGAGCCTGGACTTCTGAGAGTCGAGGGTGTACACGCTGTAGTCGAGCCCAGTAAGGAAAAGGGAATTTCCTTACACCACCCCCCCTTCCGGGATGAGACTACCCACATCTCGGGCACGTCGTCGGTGTAGGTAGTCACGGGCTACTTTGTGTTCGCCGAGTATAGCTACGGGGACCCAAAGATTTGTCCAACTAAGAACACAAGGAAGCCATGGAATGGCGTGAGGTTTTAGGACTAGAAAGTTGACGATAGAAAAGAGCGAGAGAATAGAAGAGAGAGGGATACAAGGAGGGGGGTTGTATCCTCTACAGTAGGTTTCAGTAACACCTACCAAGCCTACCAATTATTTATCAAAGATATAATTTAACACACCCCCTAGGCTTGGTAACCGAAAGCACACCACACACGGGACACAAAGCCACACATACACACCCTAAATCTAGCACCCCCATACTCAGTAGCAGCGACGGCTACACCAGCCCGGTCAACCCCTCGGCGCGTAAGGCGGCGACGTCGACAGCAAGGGCTGCGGCGGCGACGACGGCAGCGGCGGCGGCGGCATGGCCCCAACTCAAGCGGCGACAGCGGCGGCGGCGGCGGCGGCGGGGCTCGTAGCACTCGACGGCGTGGCCGGGCTCCGCGACGGTGGGACGGCCAGCAGGAGTCAGCCATCGGCTGCAGCGAGGGAGAGGGGACCTTGCTGAGACCTTGGTGCCGGATTTACTATTGGGGGCGATAAGGGGTTGTTCGATCTATCTCGTAATTAAGGAAGAACGGGGACTGAGTAGTCGTGGCCGATGGGGCGTTGTTGTACGCAAACTCGATCAAGGGAAAGGCGTCTTCCCATTGGGCCGGATCTGTGCACGTCGTGCAAATCAGCGGCTCCATCGTCTGATTGGTGCGCTCACTCTGACCGTCCGATTGCGGGTGGTACGCCGTGGACAGATGTAGACGTATGTCGTACTGCTGCCAGGTTTTTGTCCAGAAGTTGGACGTGAACCGTGGGCCACGATCGCTGATGATTGCCAAAGGAATGCCGTGTAGCTGCACGATGTTCGTGAGGAACATTTTCGCTATCTGCTCGGCAGTAATCATCGTCTTGCAGGCGGCGAAGTGGGCCATCTTGGTCAACCGGTCAACGACGACGAGAATTGCGTCATTATTGCTTGGACCAGCTGGCAGGCCAGTGACGAAATCCATCGTCACTTGTTGCCACGGTCGGCTGGGTGGCTCAAATGGCTGCAGCAATCCAGCAGGTCGAAGCCGGGAAGACTTCATGCGTTGACATGTGGCGAAGGAGGTGACGTAAAGCTGCACGTCTGTCGGCAAATCGGGCCAGTAACAATTACAACTCAGTAATTTGGAGCTTTTGTCGATGCCGTAGTGACCCGGGAAATTCAAGTCATGTGCCTCCTGGATCAGTAATTCCCGTACGGTATGGTAGGCGAGAACCCAAACCGATTGGTACCGGATTTTAGGTAGTAGGCTCCTTGCTTGTCCGTCAGTTGGGGATGACTGTTAGTGGTGAAGAATGGATCAGTACTGTATTCGTGAGTGAATATGCCAGTTAGCAGCATATTAGCTTGGATAATTAGGACGGCGATGGTGTGGACTGAAGAGCAGATCAGTGCGTCAGCGATGTTTCTAAACCCCCGTTTGTAGGTGACTTCGTAGTGGAAATTGGACTCGAGGTAGTCGAGCCAGCGAATCTGTCGGTGATTCAGTGTCGGTTGGGAACGGATGAACTGTAGCGACTTGTGGTATTTTCGGACTGTCACGTCAGCGCATGTCAGGTAGCAGCGCCAGACTTTGAAAGCGTGAATGATGGCGAGTAACTCCTTGTCGTGGACAGGATAATTTCGCTCGGCCGTGTTCAGCTTTCGTGACTCGTAGGCGATGGGTTGGAGGCCTTTGCCAAAGTCTTGTAACAGTACTGCGTCAACGGTGAGATCGCAGGTGTTGGTGATGAGCTTGAATGGATGGTGAGGATCTGCAATGCGTAGAACCGGCGGTGTAGTCAGGAAAAGTTTGAGCTTTTTGAATGCAAACTACTGCTATCCCCCCCACTCATAAAACGTGCCCTTCTTCAGTAGATCCGTAAGAGGGGAAGTTTACACAGCCATGTTCGGAATGAAACGGCGAGAGTAATTTACGAACTTGAGAAAACTCTGAAGTTCACGGAGATTAGCCGGCGGCCTCCAGTCTTGGATGGTCGCAATCTTCTTGGGGTCGATTTTAACACCGTTGATGGAAATTACGTGGCCCACAAGCTCCAGTTCGTGTTTTAGAAACTCGCACTCAGAGCCCTTGGAGATGAGTTGGTGCTGCTGCAAGGGTCAGAAAGTTGCTGTCAAATCTTTCAAATGCTGCTCCCGGATAGTGCTGTAGACTAGGATGTCGTCGAGATACACGATGACGCATTTGTCCAAAAGCGGTCAAAAAAACTCATTCATTGTTAACTGGAACGTCGAAGGCTCGTTTGTTCAGCCAAAAGGCATAACCGTGTACTCGTAACTTCCGTACCGAGTTTGAAACGTCGTCTTGTAGCAGTCAGCTTCGTTCACGCAGATTTGGTGGTAAGCACCTCGCGGGTCAATTTTCGAGAAGAATTTTGCTCGCAGTTGGAGGATGAGCTTGTTGGCACGCGTGATAGGATTGCGAGACTTGATGGTAACCCGGTTTAAGGCGCGGTAGTCACACATTCGTAGACCGCCATCTTTCTTCGGGGTGAACAGTATTGGAGCTGCAAACGGTGAGGTGCTGGGGCGAACGAAACCTTTCTCGAGCATGTAGTCCAGCTGGCGTCGAAGTTCATCTAGCGCGAGCTGAGTCTGCCGCCATTGAGTCCAACAAGTAGGTTGCAAGCCGGACTCCAACTCGATTTTGTGGTCAAGTTCGCGCTCAGGTGGCAAACCCGCCGGTTGGTCGTCTGGAAAAATGTCGTCGTGTTTCCGAATCACCGACGACATTTTTCCAGCTGCAATCGTAATTTTTTCGCCTTCGTCACGTCCATCAAACAGTGGCTCGCCCCACCATTCACGAATGTTTTAATGCGGGTGTCGCCAACTCTTCCTTCAACCAGCACAGGGCAATCAACCAGTTCACCCCCCTTGTTCAGCCAGGAATGGTCGATAGCCCAAATCGGCACTATAACCTGGTGGGGGTGGTGGCGTTTGGGCGACGCAGTCAAGTCAGTAGGTGGCCCATCTGCTACTTTTTTCTTCTTCTTTTTGGGATTTAAGGAGATCCCAGGAGGAAACCATCTGCTATTGACGATCTCCATTTCCCGACAACTTTTTGTCGTTAGCTAACTTGTTCTTCAGCTGCGAGCAGTCCCTCACCATGTGGACTGGCTGGTTGCAGTGGAAGCAGGTTCCCGAAAATACTCGGGCTGCAACACGTCCACGCTGTTGATTGATGTGTGTTGGGGCTGGCCTCGAAGGCGATTTCCCTCCCGGAAACCCGCTCTCGCGAGTCCACGTCGTGCGTCAAGCGCGTCTGCTATGCGAAATATTTCGTTGAATGTCGACGAGGCTCGTAGGACGATCTCTTGCTGAATCTCTGGCTTGAGACCACCCACGTAGCGATCGATGCGCTCGTCTTCGCTAAGCCCTTCGATTTGGTCGCAGATTGCCAGAAACGACGCCGTGTATTTTTGGACAGAGCCCAGCTGTCTCCACATCCGAAGCTTTGTGCGAGCAATTTTGCGCATAGATAAATGCTCGAATCTGCCCTTCAACGCTTCGCCCCACACTTTCCACGTACGGATCATGGCCGACCCAAAGATCGGTTCTGCCTTCGCCGTTGTTGAACTGTTTTCCCTATCTACCGCCCGTTGATTCCCTGCCGGGGCTCCTCCTTCATCTAGATGCATGCGCCACCAGTCGAGTGCCGGTCCCCTCAGCAGCGATACAACCAAGTTGACACATGATGCATTGTCATTAATACTTGCTGATGGGAAGATTTCCATGGCGAACAGCCACCCGCTCACTGTAGTTGTCTTGTCGGTCGGGTTGAACGGTGGTGGCATCGGAGGTTTGATTTTAATGGCCGCCCGCGGCTCGCTGTGGACTTCTTCAACTGCTTCATGTATCGCCGACGCCCTCGCTTCACTCGCAGCATTTTCGTCTCGGGTAACAGGCCGCTCCTGATGCGTTTCACCTAGCGTTTAGCGAAGCGACGAGTTTTCGTTGCGCAGCGTCTGCACTTCGCTTCCTAGCGACTCAAACTTATTGGCGAGTTGTTGAAGCTAGGCCTGCAGTGTCGACACTGTAGCCGCCCTGGCTTGCAACTCATCAAATTCCTCTAGAGTTACGTTCTTAACACTACGACAGGCACAGGTTTCCCGCGTGGTAGACATACTGGAAATTTTACCTGACAGCACCGAGGGTGCACACGCTTTTAATTGGAGGAGCTTTAACGACCTCGCCTACCAACCGCTGGCCAACCCTCTATTTTGTCGGGTCCTCTCCCGATATAAAGGGACTACTCTACAAAAGACTTAGCAGGCATGATAGTATCAGAATTAGTGAAGTGAATATTGGTAGAGTGAGAGTACACACAGATATACCTAAGTGTTGTACCCTCTAAGAGGCTACCCTATACAGTCTATACAAACATGACAAATACACATGTTTGACACACCCCCTAGACTGCATAGGGGAATGACCTAAACAAGCAGCTCAGGGCGGCACTACTAGTCCAACCTCTGAGACAAGGGTCTGAGAGACCAGTCAGAAGGAGTACAGACAAGGCAAGAACAAGAGCAGGGCGGCACTACTAGTCCAGCCACTGGGAGAGGACACAAGTCCAGTCTGAGTATACATATAAAGGACAGTACAAAGTCAAGGTCCTAGCAAGTGAGAGGCTACAGGAACTAGACCAAGCTGTACACAGTGCCGCTGATGATCTTTAGGCGCAAGCACCTTCGTAAAGATATCAGCCGTGTTGGCACCTGAGGCCAAGTGTACTACGCGAGCCTGACGTCGCTGCTGTAGCTCACGCAGGAGGAAGTACCGCAGCTGAATGTGCTTCGCTCTGCCCTCGAGTCGAGGCTCCTGACACAGGAGGATCATGGCCCTGTTGCCAGCGAACAGGACCGGGGCAGAGCTAGGCCGCTCACCTAAGTCAGTGAGCAAGAAGGTCAGCCAGCGGAGCTCCTGTGCCGCCATGGCACCAGCGTAGATCTCAGCCTCACAGCTGGACTGCGCAACAGACGAGGAGCGGGTAGCTCTCCACGAGACGGCACCTGAGCCAAGGCTGAAGCAGTAGCCCTGGGTAGACCTGAGTGTCTCAGCGTCGTCTGCCCACGAAGCGTCTGTGTGTCCAGTAAGGACCACTGGCCTGCGTCCTCCTAGCACTAACCCCATGCCCGATGTACTAGCAAGATAACGCAGAACCCTCTTAGCGGCAGACCAGTGCTGCGGTCGGTGTCTGCCTGTGGCCACAAAGCGAGCCAGGATGCTGAGAGGGTATGCGAGATCTGGGGGAGTGCAAGTCATCAGGTACATGAGGCAACCCACCAGCTCTGCGTAGGGGCCGCTGGGCTCTACCAACTCCTCAGACACTGGAGCGGAGAGTCTGTGGTCTACAGGCAGAGGGGTGGGCTGTGCAGAGGAGAACTGAAGGCTGAACCTCTGAAGGACCTGGCGCACCAAGTGTGACTGAGTCAGGGTGATGGTGCGCGCAGCTCTGTCCCTGGAGATCTGCAAGCCAAGGTAACGGCGCAGTTCTCCAAGGTCAGTGCACGTGTGTCTCTTCAGCAGCTCTGCCTTCACGGAGGCCAGTGCGTCCCTGTCTGCTGTGGCAAAGACCAGATCGTCGACGTAAACAAGGATGTAGAACGGAGTCTGGCCAGCACGAACGAAGAGTGAAGGGTCTTCGGAAGACGGGAAGAACTGCAGGTCAGCAAGGGTAGCACGGAGAGTGTCGTGCCACTCACGGGGAGCCTGGCGCAGGCCGTAGACGGGGCGCCGCAGGAGCCACTGGGTCCCAGGAGGGAAGGTGCCAGTAAAGCCCTGAGGGCGACGCAAGTAAACCTGCTCGTGTAGGCTGCCCTGAAGGAAGGCAGTGGAGAAGTCGAGGGAGTGAAGCTCGTAGTCACGCTGAGCAGCTAGGTGTAACAGAACCCGAAGAGTAGTCATCTTCGGGGTCGGAGCGAAGGTCTGGAAGAAGTCCCCCCCCTCACGCTGACTGAAGCCTCTAGCCACATAGCGCGCCTTGAAGACAGGCGGCTCTCCAGGAGGGCGCTTCACCTTGAAGAGCCAGCGGCCATCGACTACGTTCACCCCAGGTGGGGGAACTGCGTCGACGAAGGTGCCGGTGGATCTCCAAGATGCCATCTCCTGCTCCATGGCAGCTATCCACTGCGAGGCCCAGGGTCCCGAAGTCGCCTCAGCGTAAGTGCGAGGGGTCGGGATGTCGAAAGCGTCTGGGTCACCCTCAGGGACTAGCAGCATGGAACAGAGATGGGGTGCAGCCTCGGAGAGGAAAGCAAGCTCGAACTGGCGGTCCTCCAGGACGTCACTGCCAAGGGCAGGAGCACCCCCGACAGACGGAGGACAGGCAGGGTCAGAGACCAGAGCGGTGGCGTAGTCAAGGCGGCGGGTAGAGGCGAAGTCAGCGACAGCAGCGACAAGAGCGTCAAGGCACGAGACCGGAACAGACGGGTCGGTAACGAGAGAGGCAAGGACCCGAGGAACAAGGGGACGAGCGGCACGAAGGTAGTCAGACAGCGGGGGGGGTGCAACAACAAGGGAGGACGGAGGAGGCGACGGCAGAAGGGGAGGACGAGACGCGTGGGAACGAAGCAACATAGGGTGGGAGCGCAAGACAGGCGACGCAGGACGAGCACGGGAGGGACGGTGAGACCAGACGTGCGACGGAGGAGTCGGGTCAGGAGACAGGGGAGGTGACACAGGAGGGGAACGAGGGGGGAGACAGGCGGGGGACGAGTCCGGTGGAGGGAAAACAGGGCCGTAGACAGGAAGAGGAGGAGACGGTCGGGGAGGAACAGACGCAGGGTCGGGGGACGGAAGGCCGAGCAGGCGAAGGGCTGACACCGGCGGGGACTGCTGCTGCGGCGGCACAACGGCGACACCTGGACCACAAGCTGCTCCTCGGCTACCACCGGCACTCTCCACACCAGCACCCCCAGAGGGGCCACCCCCAGGGCGACCGGGACGAGCACCCCCAGAGTCAGCGAACGGGGGCTGCGACGGCGGCGGCGGCGGCGGCGGCAGCGACAACGACGGCTGCATCGGTGGCAGAGGCGGTGGAGGAGGGGACTGGGGAGGGGACGCCGAGGGAGGGGCGGCCGACGAGGACTGCACAGGAGGGCCACCAGAGTCAGAGGACTCCTCAACCGGGTCCGCCGACGGAAGGGGGGTGACGTGGGACACACCAGAGGGGGCGGGACGAGGAGGAGGAGGAGGAGGGGCAGGGACTACCGGGGAAGGAGTGACCAGGAACAGGGGGGGGGTAACCGGGGGACCACGGTGGGGGAAGCGACGGTAGTAGGAAACGGACTCGTCAAAGGTGACGTCGCGAGAGTGAAAGAAGCGGTGAGACGGCGGGTGGTAAAAGTGCCAGTCGGACGCGTCAAGGGGAAAACCGAGGAAGACGCAGGGAAGGGTGCGGGCAGTGAGCTTGTCCGTGCCGGAGGCACGAACGTGAGCAAGGCAGCCCCAGACGTGGAACGCAGACGCGTCAC